AAATGTGCCTCCCTTAGCTAGCCATGTCGGAATATCCTACGTTCTCTCCCTCTCACCTCTGCTTGGAGAGTAGATTGAAGCCATTCTCTACGAAGGAGTGGGTGAAGTCAATGTATGTGAACTTCTTTGGTTTCTTAGGAGCCCCGCACAAGTCAGGGCAGAGAAAAATTGAGTTATAGACTCATTGATTGTTCCCCTCCACGGAAATCTTTAGTAAAAGGCGAAAGATTTATGCGTGGGTACTGAAGGGAAACCAGAGTAACGTCAAGTGGTCGCCATTTTGAGCCTATTCGACAAAGACAAATTTTCGACATGGTCAAATTGCAAGTGCAAAACTCCACTTGATACACTTTTTGCAATTTTGTTGTTTTGTTTTGTTTCGACCTTACGAATGGAAATATTTTTTATCTATATAAATCTAATTGCAACGACATTTCTTTGCAATTGTATTTTCGTGTGAGTAGATTAGAAAAAAAGGTTTTCAATGTACACAATGTATAAACCTACGCATGTATGACGTTTGATCACGTGCCACCTAATTAACATATAATGTATGCAGTGGTTGCGCATGTAGCAATGGTATGTTTCTAATGCTGATTGAAATGAGCTGTGTAATAGACAAAGGATTGAAGAGGTTTCAGTTTAGTCTCAAAACCCAAAATTATAATCATCGCCGTAATGATAGAAGTCCACACCATGTTAGAACGTTGTGTTCTTATTGCTAACTACTGTATGCTTTATCAAGAACAGTAATAGAAACAGACTACATAAGGCAATAGAAAGATCTAGAGATGAACACAGTGAACAGTAACAATATTTTAGATGAAAATCATCTGTGTTAACAATACAAAACTCATGTTTGTTCTTTTGTGTATTATATGTATTTACTATACTTTCTGTATAGTACGTATGTTCGAAAATTAAAGTATGGTGTACGAAAAGCATCATACTTGGTATGCACATATGGAATGAAATAATTTTGTTTTAAACTATTTCTACATAGGAGGTAGTAAACTCGGTGTGTATGAACTGCTTTGGTTTATTAGGAGCCCCGCACGAGGCAGGGCAGAGAAAAATTGGCTATAGACTCATTGATTGTTCCCCTCCACGGAAATCTTTAGTAAAAGGCGAAAGATTTGTACGTGGGTACTGAAGGGAAACCAGAGTAACGTGAAATTGTCGCCATTTTTGACCCTACCGGACGTTGCCAAATTTTTGATATGGCGAAATTGCAAGTGCAAAACTGTACTTTTAAATGCAAGGGAAGCATGTAATTGCAAAATACAATGTAGTATTTCTTGACATCATACACGTATGACTTTGTCGACCTTTTCGTACTGTTTTTCCTCTGTCTCAACACGAGTGTTAAGTTACTGTATTTTTGAACTTGAAAAAGAACTTTTGACTCACAAAGGTACATTTGCCTGGGAATGCCGGGAAATATGTTAATGAGCTGTCGTTGACTTAGGCTGTTTAGGAATATGCATGAATGCATTACTCAACGTTAATCCATGTTGATATAACATGTTTAACCGTTTTTTGTCAGTTCATAAATCAGTGTTCTAAGTTTTATGTCAATCTAAATTGATGCTGAGGTAGAAAAATAGTTTCCTTGAGGATCAGGTTAGGAAAAACAGCAAACAACTCATACTGGTACTACCTCGCCCAGAAGACAACAAAAGTACTTGACAAAAAGTACTACTTACACTGCACTCGTAACAAGGGTCAAAGCGTATGGAAATAAATATGTGATTAAAAAGATCACATGGAAAAACTAGAGGTCGGAGATCTCATGTCTTCGTCAGAGGTACATCGTTCTAGAGAAATTAACATGCGTATTCTTCACTCTTTTTAATAATCAATTTGGTCTAAAGAACAAAAGAATCTCTGTACTATTTTTATGGTACAGAACACCCTGAAACGGTTTGCCGCAGATTATACAGATGCGTCGTCACCCGTGTTAGCCCCCCCCCCCCTACGTTATTTGAGTTTGGACTGTTACTGGAAAAAAAAACGTTCAAGAAATTCTTACTGTGTTGAAAGTGTCACGACAGCGCCGCAAAATATAATAAGAGAAGATGTTATAAAGGAAAGAACCAGAACAGGGTGACTACTGCTGTTTTGTTAATTTGTCTTTATGACAAATAGAAGACTTGTTTCTTGTGTTCTTTGTGTCCTAACATTTGTACTTCTACAGTTAGTATATTCCAAATCTAGGCATCTCGTTTTTCGGCCCTTCGTGTTTTATTGCGCGCTCGCCTTAAATTTAAGGTAATTAGATTTAAGGTCTCCAGTGGACGTCATCCATAGCAATTACTTGGTGTGGCCGTAGAAAATAACCTGACATATGTCCAACCTATCCTCCCCCTGCTGAAGTTATAGTACAATCCCTCAATGTAACGTCATTTGATCCCATCCCATATATGCATTATGGGGTTCCCCGGCCATATCCAGCTGTCGGCTGTCTCCAAGCAGATGTAGGTGGGGGATTTCTAAACACAAAAGGTCCTATTACGGGGACATAACGACCTCCACGACTCTCATCTTTGAACTCAATCTTAGAGACCACGACAGTAATATGCCTATCAAATTTCATTAACTTCCATCCACACATACAAAAGTTATCCTGCTCACAAGAAAAATTAACAAAATGCCCCCTGTAGTCACAACGAAACCCCCCACGAAGCTCAGTAACGAACTTAACCTTGGTCCCGACAATACTAAGCACCACACCAAGAATTATAATCAACATTTTACAAATACTTGAGTTATCTTGCTAACAAGCCACAAACACAAAAGGTGCACTAACGTGACGCACGGACCCCCCACGAAGCCAAAACTAGTACTTGACTTTGGCCTCAACAGCGGTAATATGCCTGCCAAAAATCATGGACGTCGAATCATGCCTTCCAGAGTTATATCGCAAAATCCGCAGTTCCCAACACTACGGCGAGACAATTTCATAGTCCTTCTAACGAAGACAATAATCTGGCAGAGAAAAACTAACCCGAGGTCAATGAAAAGAAATGTACATCATGGACATGCCCAAGTCACCACTGCACACTGGTCAGTGCAGTACGCTACATCCCCGCATGTCGTCGCTCTTTCCCTTTCTGTCTTTTCATAGTTTTAGAAGTCACACATCTGAATAGTGCATGTATCATTAGTTTAGACACACGTATACTGTACCAGGTCAAGACCTGTATCTATATATATATCTATGAATATCCACCTAGCTATTTTTCACGCAATATCATGACACGAATACCATATGATACCATATGATATTGTCCCTCCCCCTTTTAAACAAATACATTTGTACACAAAAATTGAATAAGACTATCGATATAAAATACTACTCAGCATACAATCGAACTTGAAACCCTTGTGAAATTCCTTTGGTTCGTAGACAATGTTACAGAAGCGATAGTTACCGGTGAGCAGTGTGCGAGTTCAGTGAATCTCCGGTATAGAAGGGGGAGGGCCGAGGGCTGGCTCGGACGTAGAATTTTCCTTGGCCTTCTGGGAAACATTTTTTCCCACCAAAATTATCCATACTTGGCCTGATCAACTGTTATTATGTTATGTAATGTTGGTGAAAGCCGCTAAGGATGAAACTGAACGATGCGGAAAATAGAGAAGAAAATCTTCACTGTATTCCCGGTCACCTCAAATTTGACCGAGTGGTTCGCGCGCTAAATTTTCAAGCGGCCTCGATATGATTTTGGCTTTAGGAAAAACACTTCTGATTTGCTCTTCACTACAAGGCGTCGACGAATCAAATAAAGGGTAACATTTTAGTCTTGCGGCCAAGTGAACCCGGAAGTGGTGCACGAGCGAGAGTAAATTATGGGCGCTGGACGACTTTTCAACGATTTTAAAACTATGGTAATTTTAGATTAAGTAGACCGAATGAAGTTAAAGTCACAGTGATAGCTCGACTCTTTATGCTGATTCCGGAAATATTATCAGAATTTCTGTATATCTCCCAAGTGAAGCGACATCGATGTCTAAAAAACGCTCTATCTGCTACCGGAGGCAGCATGGACCTAGCTAGAGCCTAGATAAAATGTTCAGGTTTCAGGTAGAGGTACTACTACTACCCTAAGCAAATCATTTGTATTTGTAAGATATACATGTTGCCAGCTGACGAGTTAGGGTTGACAAGAGGATAGCTTGTTTTGACCAAGATCTGCTCCTGATTTAGTGATTAGTTCATGATGTCACAGCCCAGCTAGACTGAACCTTTATGATTTATTTGTAACCTGACCTGGTATCTATCTTACACATAATTTTAAAACTATGATATAGTATCAAAAGCTAGCATCTCAATAATATTTTGGGGTATGATTAAACATAAGAAGCTTTAGGGAGTAAATTAGGTAACTTTTTTTTTTACTGACTTGATGTACTAGTAATATGGGTAGGGAGCATAATTTATCACTACAGTCGTTTTGGAGAAAAGTTATAGTAACTACTTAGTATAATGGTCTATATTTCTAATGAAAATTGCTTCTACAGAACTTCATTTAACTTTATTACTGAAGGGGTGGGAGGGCTATCTTTCCTTATAAAAGGGTTTTCTGCTAGATTAGTCCATGAAATTAATCAGCAATGTATCATAATGTCTTCTGAAGTGTTCAAACATCAAACAACAGACACTTGTCCTTTCCAAAAGATCATCTTTTTATTCCTCCATACTGGTGATCACAGCATTGCAGATGGACTGCTATTCAACTTCACCTCTTAGTGAGCTTTTCCATCAAAAATAAGGGATATATTTCAAAGATACCGTGTTTGTTTGCTGACAATACTATTGGCACATACAAAATTTTAAACAATTCTTTATAACACTAGAGCTATGATACTACGAGAAGTGCTTAAAAGAATCTTTTGACATAGGAATGTTGCAGGAATATTCTAGGTTTTGTCAATAACTCTTTCAGAAGGAATGTACAAAAGGTTGGAATGACAAATTAACTTCAGTGAGGCAAGGAATGTCACCAGAATATAAATATTCCTTTATAGACAGTTAACAGAAGGTATTGCCTCCACTTAAATGATTGCCAAACTCTCTAGGTTGTTTTATCCCTTGCTACTCTGTGCACCCACAACAAGTGTTATGCTGGCGACTCAATGCCCAGTTTAGTGAACAATGTTAGTAAAAAAAACGCCTGACTGCAGGAACGGTCAGGTTTTGTTTTGTCCTGGCTTCTACATGTACACGCTCGAGCCATGTCTAACTCCATTGCAACTTGCCATCCTTAGCCACTGACAAGCTCCCTGTTGCTTTTGAGTCCTAACTTCGTTCCAGTTTAGAAGCACTTGCGGTGGACAATGGATGGGCCAGACTCGTCGTACTCCTGCTTGCTGATCCACATCTGCTGGAAGGTGGACAGGGAGGCCAGGATTGAGCCGCCGATCCAGACGGAGTACTTCCTCTCAGGAGGAGCGATGATCTTGATCTTCATGGTGCTGGGTGCCAGGGCAGTGATCTCCTTCTGCATACGGTCGGCGATACCGGGGAACATGGTGGTGCCACCAGACAGCACGGTGTTGGCGTACAGGTCCTTCCTGATATCGATGTCGCACTTCATGATGGAGTTGTAGGTTGTCTCGTGAACACCAGTGGACTCCATTCCTGAGGGAGGAAGAAATTAATAGTCAATATACAGAAAAGCAAGGAGAAATATCACAAGGCACTGCTGACATATTTACAAGTGTCCAATCTTCTTACTCATTTCACTGTTACACATTAAGAATTTAGTGCTCACCGAGGAAGGAAGGCTGGAAGAGAGACTCGGGGCAGCGGAACCTCTCGTTGCCGATGGTGATGACCTGTCCGTCAGGCAGCTCGTAGCTCTTCTCCAGGCTGGAGCTGGAGGCAGCAGTGGACATCTCCTGCTCGAAGTCCAGAGCCACGTAGCACAGCTTCTCCTTGATGTCACGGACGATTTCCCTCTCAGCTGCAATGGGACACAAAATTATTTAATTTCGGAGGAAGCACAGTCTGCTATATTACAGTTCAACATTCTAAGCAAAAAAAAAAATTTCATTCAACAACAGCTCAGAGAGTAACTTCACAAAATGTCAGAAACCCACCGGTGGTTGTGAAGCTGTAGCCACGCTCTGTGAGGATCTTCATGAGGTAGTCTGTCAGATCACGTCCAGCCAGATCCAGACGGAGGATGGCGTGGGGCAGGGCATAACCCTCGTAGATGGGCACGGTGTGGGACACGCCATCTCCGGAATCCAGCACGATACCCGTGGTGCGACCGGATGCGTACAGGGACAGCACGGCTTGGATGGCAACGTACATAGCTGGGCTGTTGAAGGTCTCGAACATGATCTGCAGAAGCAACAAGGGAAAAATATGGGTCAGCCACCATTTAGCCCACTATGTACAGTGTATATGCATTCATGAAGTCACAACTGTTCAGGGATTGGATGATCTCTTTTTCTGACAGAAAATCAGTTGTTACCTGTGTCATCTTTTCCCTGTTGGCCTTGGGGTTCAGTGGGGCCTCAGTCAGCAGCACAGGGTGTTCCTCCGGGGCGACACGCAGCTCGTTGTAGAAGGTATGATGCCAGATCTTCTCCATGTCGTCCCAGTTGGTGACGATACCGTGCTCGATGGGGTACTTCAGTGTCAGGATACCTCTCTTGCTCTGGGCCTCATCACCGACGTAGCTGTCCTTCTGGCCCATGCCAACCATCACTCCCTGGGATAGGACAAGAAACAAGATTAGGAACTGACAGAATTCTGTTACAAGGAACAGGAAATAGTGGAGAAATGTTTGTGGAAACTTCCTGTTTTACCAATCACAATTACAAGCAGCAGCAAAAAAATTCAGAGTAATAGATTTTTACACAATTTAAAATACTACAAAATTTACACCCAATTTCTAATATTGTTGTAGGTCAGTTTCTGGATGGCAGTTTACATGATAGGGAACTGAGTCCATACCTGATGGCGTGGCCGGCCAACGATGGAGGGGAACACGGCACGTGGAGCGTCGTCTCCGGCGAACCCGGCCTTGCACATACCGGAGCCGTTGTCCACAACCAGCGCTGCAACATCGTCTTCCATTGTAAATCTAGATGTGTCTTCACGTCACAGGGAACCTGGAGCAGCAAAATGCAAGAGCACCGAATGAATGAAGGAAGCCAGAGAGCACTGCTTATAAGCACTGGATATGGTGAGTGGTTGGATGATGTCACTTCCCTGACTCACCAATCAGACAGAGGCTGATGCCCATATAAGGACACACCCAAAGCCTTATAGGGCAAGGAGCCAGGGCCATATTTGGACATCAGGTGTCAGGGGAAGCCCTTCCTGCCCCCACTTACTAGCCACTTCCTCTTCTGACATATCAACCAGGCAGCCAGCCATGACTCACAGCAGTTAGGAATGAGGAAGTCTTCCCCCCACATTTTCAGGAACATCCACACAACCTAGTTTTCTGCAGGAAAAGACTTCCCCAACACTCAAATATGTTCCCTAAGCAGAGTAAATTTACGCAATTAATAATGAATGAGCATGCGAGCACCAAAATCACACAATGTTTAGGAAAAGTTTAGGAAAAATCCAAACCAAATGCACAATGACAATGCACAAAAGAAAAGGCAGCTAGTATTTACTATTCATTAGCACAGAATATGTGGCCACATAGGCCACACCCATCCTATAGTATGCAAATCCAGGCTTATCACAATATCAGCAGCCCTTGCTCAGGTGAGACACAATTTTGCCCAAATATGGTCCTGTGGAGGGATGCCCCCATGTTTACACAATGGCAGCATTGCTTACTCATGGGGTGTACTGGGCAAGCCCAATATTGGTGTAGCTACACCAGATGTGAAACAATCTAGGGCTATGTACAACATGTGTTGGCAGATAAATTAGGACCAGTGTGCGACATTTTTGTGCATTTATCACAGTCCTGCCGGCATAGACAAACTTTCTTTACAGGCACACATTTGGGACGCAACGAACAACCCCGCCATCTGAGCAACATGCACGCGAGCGTTATTTCCCTCCCTTTGTTCCTTCCTCATTCATATATTCATCACCCACTGGCGGGAAGCACTCGATAGGTGACCATATATGGGCAAATCCTGTGAAAAGGTAAAGCGATGATCGCATCTAGCCTGGGGGGAAGCGACTATCACCGGTGTAAAATATAATAGCGGTGGTGCTATGTTACAGTTCTGGATTTAGAATGCCCGTTCGACAAACATGATTCGCAAGCTAAATGTTTAAATTTCCCCCATTCAAACCGTTGTGGATCTACCAAATTAGACGTCGGAAAAATTGAGCAAGCTTTTATCGACCAAAATGATTGGGGACGTGCTTGGGGAACATAGACAGGGTTCTAAACCTGCCGTCGATTTGGTTACAGATCAAATTGCACTGGCGGTTGAGCCGTTATCGTGGCTGCGAATTTAAAATATTTAAAACTGACAGCATGGGGCGGACGGGGCCAAGTCCTTGTTGTTGTAACACTAATGCTGCTTTTCCCGCCCTGTCCAAATAGGGGGCAAGGGATGTTCAACCTATCAACAGCTTTTCATTCACAAGCTCTGGGAGACGGCAAAGGAAAGTCGGTCAGAATTTCAGAGGGCTGGCGAATGTTACAAGACCGGTTGATCTAGTACGGGTTATCGACCGCGCAAATCGTGGTCCACAAGGCTGAGAAACGGTACATTTTTGTTCACAGGTAAATGGCAAATTATGCAGCTGGAGAGGAAATGAGGTAAGAAAAAATTACAAAAGGGGAACAAGCCACGTGTCAAGTTCCTTTTACTTTCAAACCGTCGTTACTAGGTACCTGTTTCGCAAGAAGCAAGGAAATCTACGACGTCCTGTCAGAAAAAAAAACTAAGGGACTCTAAATGCAAAAACGAGTCAAGTGTAGACTGGTTTTGTACCATAATTATACAGGGGCCTCGCCTTGGGGCATAACGGTCACCATATTTTAGTCACGCCATCGGTAAGTATTCCTCAAGGAAGTGTCCATAAATCACTAAAATTACACGAAAAAATAACCATAGATTACTAAAAACCATGCTAAATATAATCTGAACCACCGACAACTTCAAATCCTTGGAGCAAAGCAGAATTTAGGACAAGAGTGTCAGCAAGACCTGAAAACTCAAATGAATGGAACAGGGACGCGACTTTGTAAACGTCCGTTGACACTGAGTCCCACATGGTGCCTAAATTTAGCCCCTAACTGTTACTCATTCAACTACACATTTGCCTAAAGCTATATTGAGGGTCTAAGCTAAGGTTAAGATGGCATTTGAAGAAAATTGAGGCACATTCTGAGGAAGATGTAAGAAAATGTCTTACCAAAAAGTCGAACAGTGTCCTTCTTGCACGATCCAGTCGTCTGCACGCAAATCAATTTTGCCGGCTCCGTTTTTATACCCAACTCCACCCTGCTTCTAGGAAATCTGCCCCAAATATGGTCATGCCGGCAATCCGAGATGCTGATTGGTCAGAGCATGGAAGGCCTGTTCGAGCCACGTGGGTCCCAGCTGATTCACCCGTGGAACAGATTATCGTACATAGAAGGGGGGAGAGCCATTTGTAATCATGATTTTCAGGCAATTGGAGCTTTTATTTTTATATTTCATGCAATTGTATATAATAATGCATGTGATGATACGCAGTTTTCAAAAAGGGAACATTTGTCGTCTTAGCAGTGCTGTTGCAAAGAGAGGGGCGTAACACCATAAGAAACCGACTGACTCGTCTGAATAGCTGCCCATTGTTTTCCGACCACAGACCCGAAGCCTGCGAATTGTAAACAAGACTCGCCAATTCTGACAATATCTACACATCCGCAAGTCCATCTGGCACAAAGAAATCGTTATTGCAACTTAGGAATTCCAGAAATTCTTACGAATCAACGATACTCAAACGCTGGGAAGTGAGAAAGGAAGTAACGGACAAGATGACGTCAGGCAGTGGCGTCCCATTTTTATATCCCTAGACGGACATTTATTCCAATTTGCGACGTCTATACCTCCTTTTTATGTAATTTCCAAGTACATAAGGGACCACCACAATATACTGTGGCAATGGCACCAGCTGTGCATTTGAATTCTCACTCAGACGTTATTTGTTGTGCAAGAAGGAGTCAGGTTTTACATGACAATATTTTTTTGTTGAGAAAAAGTACTTTCTCCAACCAAGGAGCTACAAATATTAAAGCTCCAACATTGAAGTTTTTGTTTTTACACGACAATGAATTGAATTGTGGGATTTGAAACAAAAAGAGGAAAAAATGTTATGGTATTGAAAAATAAGGAAAATCTGATGTTTCTCAGTTCAACTTCCAGTTGATATAATTCTGGATTTCATGCATTTCGTTATTTTTGTTGTCCAATACACTAGACAATTATACTGATTGTCTCGTTGGACAAAACAAAACAGAAAAACAAGGGGTATGGATAGTGTCTGGATCTGTTTAGGTAAAAAAAAACGGAAGGGGCATGACATTACCTTCAAGCAGATGTGTGGAAAATTTTAACGTTTTCTAAGTAAAGTCTTTTATGAGAGCGAATTCGTCGCAATTGTCGTCCCAACATCTGCTTGATGATAGCATTAATTATTCCATTTTCTCCTTCCCAAAATTGATGATTAATTCACGTGGTATTTTGCTGATATCATAGTATACCTTCTACTTTTTTGTGGGAGGGGGGTGACGCCCGCAAATGCCGGTCATTCCTGGAGGAAAATTCGCTTGTTTATTTTTGTGCCAAACTCACTCAAAGCAAGGGATTGTCAAAGGTGGGTGGGACGTGAAGAAATAAAAGCTATGATTGAATGCACAGCAGGGCCGCCCGCGTAGATACACTAATATAAACACTGCAACTTGATATACCTTCTCTGCCATGCAGCCCCTGTGCGTTTCGATGCCGTGGAATGCACCGAAACGCCTGCAAAGTGTTGATGACCATTTCTTGTAAATAATTATCACATAATCTGTATGCTTGTTGAGCAGCAGGCCTTTTTTCCCAATGTTTGCAACACGGCTTCTTACTATGACAACACCGTCACTATTGTGTAAAATTGACAAGATTATTATCCAAGAAAGTAACACATTTTTAATGTTGATCTCTTAATCAAATTTGCGGATGGTCGCCGCTAGCGTCCGGAAATGACACCTATAACTGTTAGATTATTTGGGATGTCCGGACTTAAGGGATGTTCCTTGAATTCATGTATTTAGTACCAGGAATAAGCTAGTTGCAGTATTACGTCTACTGTGGGTTTCGCGGTTTTCTTTCCCACGCACTCACCCCCAGGCTTTTGGTGGAACCCTCCACATATATATATATACACCAAGAGCTTTTATTCCCGAGTGAATCCAAACAGACACGTTATATACACCAGAATTTGACGTAAAAGAGAACAAGGTAAGTAGGTCGACCCCCTCCGACTCACACAACATGCCAAACATACGTAGACACACTGTTTTCTCTCGAGATGGAAGGATGCCTACTACCACCACCGTACTACTTATAGATATAAACCTTTTATTTCATCGCACAGACGATATTGAAATAAAATACCACCAGACAAACTGACCAGTCAGAAAAATAAACGATTGCCACCCCAAAAATTTACTTGGAGACTTCTCCCATCTCATCTACCTACCTCTCATCTGCTTGTTTGTAAACTTACATCGAGAAGGTTTCAACCTTCTTGCTCATCAAAACGGGTGTGTGCTTGGCGCAGTTCCATTGGAATAGATACGCCCAACCCAAACACTGCTAATGGGCAATAAAACGGCCTAGCAATCGAGCCCAAGGGGAACACCTATTTGAGCTAGGGGCAATACCTGGGTCACAAAGTCCAATTAAGGCTGTAATGGGGCGTAGTGCGTTTTAAGGTGGCGATGGACAAATGGGTGTGGTTCTAGGTAGAAAGGGGACACGCCCTGGTCTAGAAACTCGGTTGACGCAAGGACAGAACGTGTATGTAAAGTAATGAGAGAAAACATTTGGAGGCTACTTGTCTCATCAATTCGTACGGTTTTTGTCGCGATATCTAAAGCTATTTGGTAGTACAGAATACTATTTACATAATGTTATATAACTTTGTATTATAAAATTTTAAATGAAAATTCAATTTAAAAGAACCTTCTAGTGCTATATATCCTACGGTATTGTGTCATGCTAACGACTCTAAAATATTGTAACCCACCCCCTTCCACCAATATCACCACCACCTGCTGTGTAATAAAAGTGTCTATGGGTCTAAAAAGAACGCACTTTGGTCCCAGTGCAAGGTTCGCGATGTCTTGGTATCAGGCTATAACTGGCAAACAGTCTAGTAATACTTTTATATAGACGTAGACTCATGATGTAATAATCAGGTGATGCCGACGTAAGTTAAAAGCACTAAAGGTCGATCGACATGACCGTCATACAGGTGTAAAGGTCTGTTTTTAGCAACATCCATGCGATGAGGACTAACTTTCAAAGTCAGCAGTATAGCTAGCTGCCATAGACAAGAAAGCCATATAAAAATTAATGCACACCATGCGTTATAAACATGTGCAAGCAACCACTAAATCCTGGCCGTCGCCATGCATGTTTCTTTCAAATGAAATTGTTTTGAAGAATAAAACAATAGACCAAGTTGTACTACACGTCAGGGCCTTGATGACGTTTGTTGGCTTGTAATAAATGACGTTACACCTATCCGGTGAAGAAAAAGACGCAAGAACACTAAACGAAAACACACAGTGAGCAAGCGAAGACATAACAGTTACGTCAGTTAAGATGACGAAGGCGCCGCAGAGGTGAGAATGACGTCTTACGAATTACGCTATTGACTGCTGGGTTAAAAATTTACCACCTTCCCCGCCATTTTTGTCAGGTTGCATACCACTAAAGTGTATGTGTATCACCTTTGCGATGGCCTGCCACATTTTGAAGTTTGAAAAGTATATCTAATTACGTATACCGACTAGGCCTAGGGGATGTTAGAAGAAATGGAATGTGAGGGGAACATGTATCTTCCTGATAACCCTCCACCCCCTATCTTTCGATGTGGTATCGCCCTAGGAACAGGTACCTGGGCACTGAAGTCGTCTGAAATCATTTCGTCTATTTGCAATGGCTTAATCCTTCTCATGGGCGTCTGAGTCATAAAGATAAGGCAAAGGCAGGCTCACAGAGCAATTGCAAACTCTGCTATTTTTAAGGCCGTGACATTAAAGATGCTGATTGACTTTTACAACTTGTTTCTGCGACTTCAATGCTATCTAGACAGGCACCAACGAAATTGCATTAGTCTGATAAGACTATTCAAGCATCTGTATTACCCTTTTAGGAATACATTGTGTAACGACAATAGAGATTGAGAGTTGGGAATCTCTACTTTCAAAACAATCTGCCCTCCCACAAATTTGCTCCTTTCTAAAACAGCTGCATCAAGTATTGGGTTACACTTTAACTGGGTCATGCAAAACGACAGGTAGGTATTGCAACGTACATTATTTATTTTACGCAACAGTCATGAGCTAGGGAGGGCTGCCTATAAGAAATAAAGTTTCCAGAGAAAAATACACGACACAACGATACAATTGTGTCAAGCAAATAAGAAACGGCTGGATGTGTTTTAGTTGTTCCCCAATCTCCAAGACACCAACCATACGCTTGTATAAGCCATGGGGCTGGCCTGGGGTTACCTAGCGGGCGTTGACATCGGCATTCCTTCTGTAGCTGTGGAGCCACGTCATAGTCGCGCGATGTTTCCTTGCAAAATTCTCAGTAAAGAGCCATTTTGGCACAGGAAGCACAGAACGCAGTTTTCGATTTTATCTGACTGTTATGTGTGGACTGTAGGATGATGAGTCGACTGTGTGTGGTGTACCGTGCAGGATTCTACCGTGTAGAATTCGTCTTATGCACTGTTTTATTTGGCCACATTTTGCTCCAAATCTTCACATACAGAAAGTCCACACATAGGTGTAAAATCATATCTCTTTGCCTTGTATACTAGTTTTTTTTAAAACAGGTGTCATGGCTCTGTATGTATAAGCGACCTGTTATCCAGCACCTGTCCCTGAGGCCACGCCCCTTCAGTAACGGACGGTTTTCCCGCGCCACAAAACAAGTGGCAGACGACCCGTTCTTGTAATCATAAATTTTACCTCATCTTCTGAAAGCATTCGCCTATTGATGGCCCTACACCCTCAAAACAATCACATATCGTGCGCAAATGTTGACCTTTCTTTGGTAGATTGGAATTACAGCATCATATGATCAGCTGATTATTATTCATATCCAGCGCAAGGTGCCCAAGACATGACCAAATAAGGTAATGTTCTGGGCTCCCGGCTGATAATGCCCTGTTGACCTTCGGGACGAGACCACTTTGTCTGGTGGGGCGGGGTCAATCGTTACTGCTGGGGGGAATCCAGTATTGTCCCGAAAGGGGTTGGAACATCCTATAAATTCCTTGGCAAAGGGAGTATGCATTTAATATCGTGGGAGGACTGGTAAGATGTATTGTTGCAAAATCGTTGTTTCATGTTTTTAAAATGTGGGAGGAAGTAGATGGTTGCTTCCACTTTGCAGACGACATCCTGTCTCCCTTGCACAAGCCAAGGGGTGCTAATTATAGAAAAGAGGATATGCTATTGCACCTTACATTCCTCAAATACATCCTATTCAACCCGATCTAGACGATGTAGCAAGCCGTAGATACAGATTATTCTGCTTTTTTCTAACGTCTGATTTAATGTATCTTACTGACAGGATCATAAGCCTGAAATGACATTAAAATGGCTCGGGGGTTGGGGGCTGTTAAAAATCTACTTTTCAAATTGCCACACCTCGAAATCGATGGGCATGTGTCAATGTAACGGTTAGTGACTTAAGGTGTGGCTAGAGAGCAGTCACTAACGGACAAAATGCATGCATATAACTATTCATATTTCTAATTAGAAGAAACGACCATATTTTCACACATTTAGAACTACCTGTATGGTCGTCAGCCACACCCATACAGCTTTAATTCTGATCGGTCCCTATAAACAGGTACCCAGCTTGAGTTTGGGACACGCACTGTGAACAAGTCAAAATGTCATGGCTGGCGGCAACTTCTCCAGGCGTAAAAGCGACAACGTAGCGTTTTCTTCAAAGAATGCACTTGTCGGATTGTGTCTGGCCTGAGATAAGGGGTCCTGAACATGACCTTGTGTTGCAGACGCCTTCACTGAGCAGTCTGCTGTGCATATCTATCTAGATCTTGGTAGTAGGAGGGGGCGGGGGATTTCTAAGCGGTGACTAGGCTAGTTGGGAATCTGTATAACTATAAACCTACCAAAAATCACATAGACTAAGGGGATATTGGTATATATATATCCCCCGTCGTTTTTTACAACTCTGTCTTTGATCATTCTTGTCATGTACTATGGTATTCTGACCATTTTGTTGTTGTTTAGTATCTGTAACTAAAAGTGTAAGGCGGTTATTCCTTGGTATCTGTAAATGGTCGATCGGGTTTTTTCCATAGGCACTTCTTCCTTGGGCCTGCTCCTTTAGATTCACGGGAAACAAGACAGTCAGAATTTGTTGACATGCATCATTTGACAGGGTGCACCAGGAGAGCAGACATTCAATTTTTATGAAAGCTTTTTTTTTTCGAAGTGATGCACGATATAGCGTGTCCGCTGGGCGGCGTTGTAGTGCGGTCACACATCGTAAAGCGTTGGGCTCATGGCGTTTTGGCGGTGAATTATTGTGATAGTCGCCCAATAAATAATATCACAGAATGATTTTGAATCCTAATATGTACGAATGTCCGGGCTATAAAACGTTGCCAAATTAGACATTTCCGTTTCTTTTTTTAATTTTTGGTGACACGATCTATATACGCTTTATATGATGACTGCAGATGAACTTATAGTTATATATAAGTGAATTTTATCAGTTTGACACGCAAATAATAGATCACAACAAGTATAAAGGCTACTAACAGATTTTATTGGTGTTCATGGTACAAAGATGATGTAGAGAACGGTCGACAAAAATTCTACTTGTCGCGAAGTTGGATTCCAGAATACAAGCTGTTTTGTCAATTCATGCCATAGAACGGCACTGGAATTTTGCATTTAAAATTAAAATCTTCGACAAATGGTAGAGAACGCTCGTGCAACAATCGTATAAAATCATAACAGTACCTTCACAAGGTGGTAGAAAAAAACCACTGACGCGGGAAAAAATGAGTTCACGCAACGGACGCCGACATGATTATGAAATTATGACAACGTCCGCAAGAGGGCGTGATGGTACAGTGGGTCCATATGTGATAATGTAAGTACCTGCTCGCTGCATATATACAATGACAATGACTAGCTAAGGGCCCGATAACGTGATGCAGTATTTAAACACTTTGTGATTCCATCTCAGAACAGCTAAAGTTACTCTGATACACTTGTTCTGTTCTTAACTAACTGCGTGTATGGCACTGTATCACAAATCTCAGCGCTATGATAAAACATGTCGTGACAACATCAAAATAGCGACATACTGTATTCCCCTTCTTTCCTACCGCGCCATGTCCGAATCTAAGGTTACAAATTGCACGGTAGGTACAACAAGAAGGATGTTTTAGTTTTCATGATCAGTTCAAGCACAAAATACGATTTTGGACAAGGCCTATCTAGAATACCTGGTTATATGTGTATTAACATACATTGAAAGCTGCAGAAAAGTCAAAAGATATCCAGAATAATTATATCTAGGTTGAATAAAAAAAAGCCTGCATATAATCACAATATCACTGACACAACTGTGTTTGGTCTCCGACTAAAATATCTATCATGTATAACTATTCATAACCAAACATTCACACAACATTCATCCTAACAATAATCATTCAACACAAGTGGTGTACATTAAATTACCATACGCCATTCCATGTCGACCATCAGAGCCGTGTCTATCGTATGTACTCAAGCGGCGCCTAGCGGATACAATTAGATTACAGGAGCCTATTGATGTATACTCAAAAGTACATCTTGCAAAGTACATCTTCAAAACGCAGAATCTGATTATAGTGGCATCATCGATGACAAGTCTTTTAAACTTGAAAATTGATTTGTGACGCATACGTGCAAAAAGGTGGTAAAATAGTAAAAAGAATCAATATACAGGTTTTCTTTTCAACGCGGTTTAGAACGTTTTGACATCCTTCTGTCACAATGGAATATCACTGACAATGTACGTGCTTTTAAAACAAAGGTGACTATAAGCTAGACACGCTATGCAATGCAGTCTGTTTGAAGGCAAATTACAAAACTGAGCACAACATGATTTATCTATCATTTCTTACGTAGGTGTCATGAGTGAACGATTTTCTCTTAATTACAGTTAAATGTAAGCTAGCTATGTAGCTAAGGTGAGTTGCATCCTCATACATGTAGTCTAACATTCCGCACCACCGATTCGATATTTCTTGAGAAGAGTAAAACGGCAACATGGCCGCGGGAATCACGAAAACGACGAGCTGTCGTCTGCACATCTTAAAAAACAAGATGTCGTTTCACAAACAGACGATTCTGAATCTTTTCTCAATTGGCATCGTATCAGTAGATGAATACGTTGATCTAAATTCGTGACAAAATGAACAAAACTTGGTGCAATACGTGATAAAAAGTGCAATGATAATGACTGTGTAAGTTTGGAGACCATACTGCTAGGCCCTCTCGGTCATGCTGCACCAAATTCTGTCCATTTTTTCCAACTACAAGCTGCGTGCCTTATATCAAAGTTTTCCAGCTATCCTATCATGGTGCCTGTTCTCTAATATTCCCACAGTGTTTCTTTGTTGACTTCTGTGCCGGTGGCCCGGAACTGGCCGTTCTGCTCCCCTCGCAGGTACTTGTCGTTCGGTGCCCGGATGCAGAACTTGCTGTGCTCGCGGAGCTCGATCAGGAAGTCTGTACCGCCCTCCGTCGACATCGCTACGTTGTTCTCGCCTTCCATCTTCCAGAACTTTCCGTCTTGACCTGTGGGAAGGGTATATAACATATTTAGTCTTCCTTAAGTTACCAACTGATACATAAGTTAGTGTTTTCAACTGTTTTGTCCTTGTGCCACCGCTGTGTTATTTGTTTCGTCATGGGCCGGCCATCTTGCTAAAGCTACACGCTCTAGCAGGTCTCTTATCAAAAGATACAATGTAGTTAAAACTGATGGTGTTAGCTCAAAGATTAATAGACAAATGTGACATTTGTTGGGTATTCCATAGGACGAAATAGCGACTGAAGTGTACCTTTCAGCTGGTAAGCTCCATCGTTGTTGATCATTTCGAAGATGCCGTAATCTGCATGGTGGCACTCCAGTCTGTCTCCCTTCCCAACCGCCACAAACCCGTGTGGTCCTCTCAGTACCAGCAGTGGTCTGTAAACAAACAAACAAACAAACAAGTTAATAAACAACAGATCAGGAGTCCTGATTGACAATAGCAATAGAATTAGAAGCAAGGGCTATGTGACAAATCATAACTTTTTACATACAATTAAACATGATATTGATAATTGCTATTTTTGGATAGCTAGATCCTCAGTATGGTTATTAAATTTCAGCCTTTAAATCCACTTCCACTTTAAACACTATTGCTCTGTTCCCGACCTAGAAACTGAATGTCACTTATTTGCCGGGCTTAGTAGTACCTGTTGACGAGTTTGAACGTGAACTTGCAGGCGTCGGAGATGTCGTCGGCGGTGGCCGCTAGCTGCCCGTTCAGCTTCGTCGCTACGAAACGTCCGTTGCTCGCCTGGAAGGCGATCTGTCGTCCCAACCAGTGGATTTCAAACTGCGCGTCGGGGGAAGCACTGTAGCAACAAAACAAAACACAAGCAACCACAATTAGAGAAGTATGGAAGTTAATTAGGACCCGCCATCCTTCATTGAAACCGGGGCGAGGGACGGTACCGACTTCGGACAAGAGAACCAAAAACTAGTCTGAAAAAAATGCTGATTCAAAATTCGTTGAGGTAACTCTTCGTACGTGTTGACTACTAGTATTGTAATGGAATTCCATCACGTTCTGCACTCAGTTGACTATTTTCAGAAAGTAAATAATTCTCCTAACAAAAAGTACATTTCTTTCAACGCTGTGCAAAACGTGGGAGGGGGCCCTGCCTAGGCATGTACATGTAATTACCGAATCGCATCAAATTTTCCAACCTGTCAACCCAATAACGCGATTGTACAATTTAAGACCGTGTGAAAAGAAACGAAAATGAAGTGACCCGTAAAAACACCTGTGCCACTTCTTAAGCACGTTCCCACACCACCTGGGCCGTGGAAGATCTCATAATAGCTCGACGTGCTTCTTTTTCTCTCACGACCAGTTTTTCTCGGTCGTGGGTCACCCACAACAGAGGAAGTATTGTAATCAGCCATTTTGTAAGAAAACTCAATTGTGAGGTAAAGGCTTGTGATGAATTCCTTTTTGCACACAATGCGCGACCTGTCCCTTTTGCAAATAAGTTCAATCATTGAGGTTGAAAATATTTTTAACCTCCTTGCTTGGACAAAAAAAGAGCACAAAAGCAAAGTCCGGTCGCTTAACTAGTTTTTAAATTTAGGGTAGGGTCTAATTGAAATGTACCAGCAATTTAGGTTGATTTGTTGCTTACCGAATGTACCTCTCAATTGCCGTTCAAATGCAGAAAAGGTAACAGGTGGAAGCTTGAAGAAACGAGGCGGAAATAAAGTAGCGATACGAAAAATTCCGTGACGAATACATTTTTCTACGGCTTATATGATTATGGTTGGGAGCTTCTGTTACCAAGCAAAGCGGAGCGAAATATCTGGGCACCTTTCTCACAGTCAGGACCCCACAAGCCGATAACACCTGGGACATATACATGTCTTTATAGAATAGCACAGTATGTGGTTATGGGGCCTTGGTGATACGTGCTATTCAAAGATGTCTCTAAAGCGATAATCCTCTTCACCAAATGAACTAGCTAGTAATTATAGGGGAAAAAAAGAAACGTTTCATGCGTAACAAGCTGCCAGGGGCCTGAACCACGAACAAAATGCCAAGAGCACAAGATATTCTTCTTCAGTATCGTGGAATGCTGCCAGGGGGGATAAAATTGATTAAATGTGTAGTTTCTGTCACAACCTACCAACACACACTAAATATGAAACCAATCCATATGCATATGCATCCAGCCATTCTTTGAATTAGGCCATGTTGATTTGATTATATGGATGACATCCTCTGGGAACTCCAAAACTGATGCGCGCGTGCGAATAAAAAAAAGTTTTGCAAAAAAAAAGGTTGCTTTCATGATGAAATCTACGTGGTCATGAAGTTTGAACAAATGACGCAGAGTATGGTATGGCGAATAATCTACTCTTCAAATTCATTTCTTTATATCTTCGTCTTTTTGTTTGATTTTGGCATTCTACGACATTGTTATCGTTTTAAATATTCTTTTTGCAACTTACGGTATATATTTGCTCATTTTGCAACTGTTTTGTACGATTTACAGTATGGTTGAAAACTTTTTTTTTGGAAACGGCCGAAAATTCATGCGCGCGCGGATGTCATCCATATAATGAAATCAACGTGGCCTTATCTTGAAGACCAACGTTAACAGACAAACTCTCCCAAACGTTAGCCTTCAGTCTGCGTACCTCTGTGACCCCGTTGCCTGGATACCGGAGTTCCCGCCAGTTTTTAGCGTCCAGAACTTGTCGTTGTTGGTGCGGACGGACCACTTGCCCGACTCCTTGTCAATCTCCATCTGAAACGTTTCCAGGTCGCTCTCCCCTCTCTCCTCATCAAAGTCCTGGTTGGCTGCAACGTCCACTCCTGAAGCAGAAACAAAACAAGAAGAAAAAAAGATTAACGCCAGGTCACATATGAAAATTTGTTTTCTAAATAGATCTCCAAATGCAACGTTTCCAGTCCATGAAATTTGCCCTGCATAAAATGATGTATTATAGGAAATACGGCTGGAGATAACAGTTAGACGCTTGCAGCCGCCTCTCGAAGCCTGGTAGAGGCTAATTGAAATATACTTTTGTAAGAAAATGATTCAAGACGAACAGAAAAAAAGACAGATAAGATAAAACATGAAAAAATGAATGGGAGAAGGGAGGATGGAACGGATGGATGACGAAAGTGTGAAGAAACATGATTTGGCGACCTCCCACCTGGAGAACATGCCACGGCCACTGCCAAGAGGATTACTAACAGAAAGGCGATTGTTCCAATGCTACCCGGGGTGCTTGTGAAAAAGAAACCAGTCTTAAGGAACGGTGCTGTGGTCTCAAGTTCAAAGGCAATGTTAAAGCCAGTAGCCAAACGTTTCAAAACTGTAGTGGAAATCGCAGAAACTTGCAGTCTTATTTTGATACGAATATGTCGCCAACTTTGTTTCTAGGCTGTTCCTAGCCGTATTCAGTTTATGCAGTTGCGAAAATAAGGTGAGTTACAGTATGAGTTAAGCTCGACTCTGCTTTGTTGTGAGACGGTAGCGGGGTCATATGAGGTCATTGCCAAGGCCTGTGTACAAGACCGGCATGCTTCGTGATTCGGGGATGCTGACAGCTAATTCTACAAAATCTCAAATTCTTTGGTTGCATCAACCTCCTTGGTTGCACTACGTATACTGAGAGTATCTTAAGAAATATTACTTATTACAATCATGTAACAATGGCGGCAAGAAATGGTGGCAATTAGGGTTTTAGAAAATTCAAGAAATAAACAGTATTTCAATCATTATAACTTATGATTGTATGTTGGGCACAGTACGGTAGTATAGGACATGTTCAGTCAACCATTTGAAATAGATTCATGAACAATTTCGTTCAAAACCTCATTTCCATGTACAATGTCTATGTACGCAGTTCGTTGCCATTCTATGACAATGGGCATGATTTGGGCCTGGTTCATTGTGTGCCCTTCGCACCATTGTGTGTTCGAACAATAGGAACAATGGTCCATTGAACGATTGCGCAACGAGAACGTGACAATGTCCGTGAGTGCAGGCAGATTGTGAAACGACTTTAGGATTTTGTGGCTAATCAGCTTTGATAATTCATGAGCAATGTCTGGACGATTTTTTGGATTCTATGGAAACCTGTTATTCCTTCCTTGTTAAATTCACAACAAAATAGTGTGGTATGCTAGCGGGAAGACGCAAGAAAAGGACTGTATCTAGTCAATTTGAAGCTGCCTGATCTTGTACACTCTGTGCAAGGAATTTTAACCTCCTTGCTCTGTGTAAGATAATATATCAAGGAACCCAACAAAAGGGCATTGAATACAAAGCCAAAAAAGATTAAAAATCAAGACATTTAGTATACATTTCATTTCATTCATGTATCATTTTTAGAAAGCAACTTAGTTGCGTTTAATTTAATGTTTTCTTTATACAGATCACGGTTGCAATATGGTGTGTGCAAATACACTCTCTGCATTTTTTTACTGTCTTTACAAATTAGTCATCACGTTGAACTCTGTTCCGACTTCAGGGCTGAGTCAACACCACGGCCCTCGTATTCGCAGACGACAGGCGGGAACAATCGGCGTCGCCATGGCAACGGTATAGACGTTGTTTGGGGAACACAAACAGGGCGTGACACCGAGGCTGGCGGGGTCGGCAGTATCTGTATATCACCGGGAGTTTGTGTGCTGGGGAACTGGACGGTTATTGGTAACAATTCACTGTCAATATTCATAAAGGAAAATCGATTTGTAAGGATGACAGTGCAATACAATACTCTGTTCATCATAAAGATAAAATAGATAGATAGATGAAGATGATGATGCAATAATAAGAATTATGTTTCTGTAGACGGTACAATATCTACAGAATTCATTCGGACAGTCACTGTGCTGTGCTATTCGAAAATCCTTGGTGTCGGGATCTACAAATTGTGTCAAAGCTTTAGTAAATTGTTAAAAATACGTATCTGTATGGGATGGGTTATTTTCATGTTTATCAAAATACAATTGTTATACAATATAATCTGCCTGGTTTATACGTATTTAAACCACGATTCACCATTATTTCTGATAAAGTGCAGAGTCCATATACGTATACACGGATGGATATTATGTGAAATCGATTGGTGATGGGTTGTGAGTAACACAGTCCATCGATCGTTCGGCGACATGAAACAGGTACCAGGCCACTGGAGGTCAAAGGTTATCAGAAGCTGGGAACGCCCAGCTTTCACCGAACGATTTTATTTTTAGCCCCGATTTTTTTCAACCAACCAAGTATGAAAACGTATATAACCATAATGTGTAAACAATACTTTGAGGATAACAACGGGTTGCTTCTTATTCCTGGTTTGTAACTTTTCATAAAATCGTGAAACAATATCACTGAAAATCACTGTATTGAAAGGGTAGCAACATCTCGACAAATTTTGTCTCACGTCAACAAAAAAGTTTGTTTTTCTTTCAATTTTTTTCTGAGCCATTACCATCCATCACAGTACGTTCTCATATATCAAATTACGGAACTTTAAAATGGACCTTTAAAACTCCTTAATTAAATCAGGGATGACCTCTGGATGGAAGAGCCGAATGTTAACAGGATCATCACGTACCCAGGGACAGTTGGGTCGCACATTACTTAGCGAGATTCAATTAAGTTTCTGTCGCGTCGGTCGGAAATTCGTTATGACAACACGCAGCGGAAATTGGAGAAATCCTATTAAAAGCTGACAAAAAAACGTTGACACGAATAAGGTGACTGTAGGCGTATGAGAAACATGGCACAGTGACTAGATAGGGCGAGGGCAAACTTTTGAGGCTGTGGGCCATGTTGCTGTATTAACATTTACATTAAAAATACTACAACAACAACAACAACTACTACTACTACTACTACTACTACTACTACTACTACTACATTTGTACTACCATTACTACTACTACTACTACTACTACTACTACTACTACTACTACTACTACTACTACTATTACTACTACTACTACTAAAAATCCTCTAGCCGCAGAAAATTGCTTCCGACGACCTCGCAAATTTACCGTCTTTGGAATAAGTCGGCCTAGATCCTGAACTAAGAAATATTACCCGAAACATTCAGACTCCGGTTTATTAAGTCTCGAAGGACTGGGTCTAGGGGAGATAAGAATCTTGGCTCCTTGAGAAGCCATGTAAAACACGCGTCGTTAAGATTACGATCTTGGAATCTCCAGTAGCCACGTTAAGTATGTATTTTACCGTTTGTAATTATGGCAGAAATTAGATATTTGTCCTTCAGAACACACAAAATGCACACAGATAACACAAAATGCACAGATAACACAAAATGCACACATAACAATCTTTCTTCATATCTGAGGTCATGTGTTTAAAGTAAGGTCACGTTTCTCTTACGATTTTTATGGGGGTGGGGGGGGGTAGGACTTTCAGTACGGCTATGGCACTGACCGACATGTAATGGGTCTACAAAAACCATTCTGTTTTAAGACAGCAGGATTTAATACGACACGTCCACGACTTTCCCCGAAATTCTTTCAATTTTTTGTCATAGACCTATTGATCGTACGATGAGTGTGATTGGACCCTTATAATAAAAAAAGGGACCCTTATGATAAAAAAATTCACTGCCTCCAAAAAAGAGGGAAAACCCATCAATAATATACGTAGACATCCATAGACATTCATAGACATTTTGGTATGTATTTTACATACGTGTCACCTTGGGTACGAGTTTGCAAATAAATAAACAAATCATAATTTTACATGCAAGAATTTGAGCCGTATACTCAGAAATTTAACAGTGTAGACTAGAGATATATACCTGTAATGAATTATGGACACTTATCTTTCATTACGAACAGATTAAGTACTCTTATCAGGAAAGTCCATACCTGCTCGATAAGTGTCTCATTAATAATTCATTAGCTGCGACCATCGCCAGATTATGGTCTGCCGTTGCTATGGCAACGTGAGAACGAGTTAGGCTCAAGAAGAAACTAGGTGTTTAGCGCGTCAAAAACATATTATTACAGATGTCTGATGGTCAGATCCGTCTACAAGTCAGAAATATCTGCGTTCAGAAAATCAATAAGTTAAGCTAATAATTTCATGGCGTTCTCCTCAGGAATGCTATAACCATATTTGGTAACGCAGGTGAAGCTGTATAGTCAGTCTCGTCCCCACGTTACCAGTTTTCTATTAACGTGATCTGGGCACGAGGTTCGTATAAAAAGGTGTGTGTGTGGAGGGGGGGGGCCTTACTGGTCAAGCTTGGCCACATTAAAATACGCGATCTCTCTCCCTCAGTCTTTCTGTATGTCCTCCCTTCTCTGTCTCTCTATCCCATTCTCTCTCTCTCTGTCTCTCTCTCTCTCTCACTCACTCACTCCTGTCATACATCGATAAACGGTACCAAGAACGGACGTTGTATTTAAACCTTTCTGTTTGGCTTTCTCACGTGTCTTCGATCGGACTTTGTTTCAACCTGCTGACTTGTTCATAACCAGTCGGCCAGCTCGAGCCGCCCGCGCGAACAGTACACATCTTTCACCGGGTCTTATCATCCGAACGACGCTGTTCAAACAGCCTGTGTTTGTATTTCTGAAGTCCACCTCCCACAAAGAAAGAGGGGAAAGAAATCGCATTGTAATCAGCAACCTATAAGGCTGGTAAATACTGATTACGTTAGATATTATGCAATAATACACAGGGCCACTTTATGGGCAATTTTGTACTATACTGTCTGAATAAACGCCATCGTCTTAGAATTTTGACTTATGTAGGAATGAAGTACTGTTTGATATTTATATCAGAGTGGTCGGTTTTTCCTAATTACATTTAAATTGTC